AAAGGATAGTCTTGTTTGGGAATCTTCGGACGTGTAAAATATGAGAGGAACTATTGAGGAATGTTTGTCTACGAGCTACAGAGCTTGTAGTATGTATATTATGCTCTTCTACAGCGTCTACACAATGGAATGTTAAGTCGTGTATCATCTCACGAAGGCCGCGCCATAGCTCAAGCGGTTAGTCGCTGGTTTCCCATTTAAAAATACAGTGATCTCATCGGGAATCGACCCCACGACCTTCCGGCTTCTAGCATAGTGCCTCAACAACTGCGCTACCGCGTGCTCCAAAGAGGTACATAATATTTGGTTTACTTTCTTTGCCAGCAAGCGAAATAGCTCTATGACCTTGGCCGGTATCAAAGGTATGTTCTTTCGAAAACACAGCTGGGAAGTTGTAAAATACAATTCTATACTTTTATTTAAAAAAATTTGACAAAATACCGCAATTTTATACTGTCACAATATCATACTCATGTCTGACAGCAACATCACAAGGCGGAATCAACTGAAAAATTGAATGAGGAAGAAAGATGATTATGAATTGCAAATTGAGTATAGCAAGGAATTTTCGATGGCTTCTTTCGCCTGAAGGCTGTAAGAGAAAGGTTGATATGAGCACCCCATCTACCGGCTAGAATTCATGTATACTCGTATAATGCGTGAGATTAATCGCAGCGCAGACTTAACGTTAAAAAATCATGTTTTTTTCTAATTATACTTTGCATGTTTCGGTCGCAATCTGTCATCCTCAGGTGATATACACAAATCAGTTAAGTTCAGTTTTTTTGCAAACAAAAATGTATAAAATGCGAAGAGAATTATGGATTAAGTCGAATCCTTCTTAACGTTATATGGACAGAGGAAATATAAAATTGAAAATACCTGTTGAATACAAATATTTGCAGTCGGTTTTTAATTCTTAGATACTTGTGAAATTTGTCCAATTCGATTCTTATTATATTAGTTCGATATTTTACACTCGTAAGCTACAGGCTTATGCCCATCTTCCGCGTACTGTCTCTGTCGGTCACTCCAAGCCAAACCAAAATTTTATGTTATGAGTTTGAAGTACGCCTTAATAATTAACATAAACCGTAAATAATCTTATAAAGAAAAACTCTGCATGCAAGTCTAAGGTAAACCAGGTCGGCCTAGGTTATTATCATTGGATTGTTCTCAACCGGCGTCAATTTAATCCCACTTCACATTTTTCTCTCTCTGAAACCAAATCTCTTAAACGAACTGACGTTTGCTTATGTTATTCTCTACATAAGCGTCCAAGAGTCTATGACGTTCATGCCACGTTTTATATAGAGTCACATGAAACAGATTTGTACTTAGAGTTCTTTACTTCACAAATGATTTGTTGCCTTGCCTGACTCAGACATTCTGTCGTGTAATTCCACACACCTGGTGAGAGAGATAAGGAGTTCCAATTCTAGTTCTATTATTCTCGACGTGAGCAACGACAACTGAACCATCCTTACTTATCTGGTCATTAAACGGGCCTCAACAATGGAGTCACAATTTCCGTGGCATGAACCTTCTGGAAGTGGATTATTGGTAAAGGTTTTACCTTTTTAGCTCTAATGAATGTCACCACCTGTTCTTTCCTGTCATTTATTGTATGTCGGGAGATTTACATTCTTTACCGTCTCTGTCTTTAGATTGTTTCATTATGCATTTCTTGCACAAAGTGTACGAAGCAATCGCAAATTATATTCCCGTCCCCCTCACAAACACCTCATTTCACAAAACGGAGAAGTTGTATGTCATAAATGTTAGATTTCGTTAAGATGTTTTTATTTGTAGGTGAACATTTAACGAAATATGGAAAGAAAAAAACCGTTGCAAATCTGCATTGTGTGATGTCAATGATACTGCAACAGTGGGTTGGTATGTGTGATAAGTAAACAGCAAGGTCAGTGGGGTACGCAAAAAAAAAAAAGGAAGTGTCTGGAATAGAGCCTAATCTGTGTATTACATTGGAGTGTACAGTTTAATCCTTGTTTAAAGATCCAATCCTACAAGCTTCCAAAGGCATTCCGTTGGATTTCTATTATTTTATTTTTTTAGAAATGATAAAATGCAAAATGACTGCCTCTGTGGTCTAGTGTTCAGAGTTTCTGGCTACAGATCCAGAGGTCCGGGTTCGATTCCCGGGGCTACCACATTTTCTGAGAAGTAGTGGGTCTGGAACGGGGTTCACTCAGCCTCTTGAGCCTAACTGAGGAGCTATTTGAAGGAAATAGCGGTTCCGGTCTAGAAAACCGAAATGGACGGCCGTGGGATTCGTTGCGCTGACCACACGTCACCATCTATCCCCTAAATTTGGTACTAACTTGGCTGACAAGCGGCGGTCGCTCGGTCGGTGTAGTTCGCTTGCGGACTAAAACCACGGAATTTGTTTTGTTTTTGTTTGTACAATGCACAATTCAGCATGGGCACCATACTCTTGCTTCAGATAGGCCTAAGCTTTTTTGCTTCAAGTACAACTACATTTCGAGGAAGCTATTTTAGTAAAGAAGGACTGATCCTTTACTACTGCAAGGCAAGTGCGAAACACTTGTGATAGACCTGAAGCATATTCAGTACATAACGTTTTCATGCGGAGTTGTGGATCTCACTTATCTCGTTTATTACTTCAGTATGGATATCATCATTCTTGCCGATCACAATGCGTTGTTCCACGCTCCGCGGTACCTTCTGTTCACTTATCACTCTAGCAACTTCCAGACAGGACCAAACAGGTTCTAACCCTAACAGGAGGAAGGGTGGAGGTTGTGGCTTCACTCTCTCAAGGTCGCACAGCTGCTGCGCAGTGTGGCTTGTTTACAAAAAAATCAGTCCCGGTCATATTTGAACCACCTAGTTCTTTAAAGGATCCTCGTCTTTTTCCTTTGCCCTACAATTGTGGAATAGGCTATCCTATTTACCAACGGCATTCCTCATATTTCGGTTCTTGAACTCCAGTAGGAGTACAAATAAGAGACGGAACAAATTTAGTCTCAGAAGTTGAACATTCATTACAGGCTTTAGAAATCTCACCATGATCATTTTCATGCAGAAATTCCCATACACATTTTCAGGTTTTCCAATGAATATAAAGCCTTAGATATATACTTTGCATGTCCTTTAGCCAGATTTAATAAAATTACATGTAAAAATTATGCGAATATAATAAATCAAGGGGGATTTTCCTAAATATTACATGCGAGAAATTATATTAATAAATACTGTTGCACCAACTTCTCATACGTTGTATTCTGTTTCTGTATCTTGTCTTAAGGATGCTAAATATGCGACTGTATACTTCTTTGATTAAAATGTGCCCAGGGGAGTCATGACATCTTAATTCAAGGTCCGAAACTAGTAAGCGTGGAAGGAGAGGCATCAAGCCTGCCTGCCTCTTTGAGTAAAGATATGATTTATTGTTAAGTTGCCCGCTGTTCTAAAGAGGCGTTAATATTAATAACCGGTGTCGAGCGAAACAGCAGTCGTCCGCATGCCAACTGTTGTGGTCATCTGTCTTTGGTCCGCGGAGCGACGTGTTTGGTTTCCGCCATTCATGCTACTGCAGCGATAGATGTCTCTCTTCTTCTGTCTGTAGCTGACTGGCTGCCTTGAGCGTCAAACGTATCTCATAAATGTAGAAGTATTGTTAATACTTGTTGTCTCTTTAGATTTACGCACCTACTTCTGTTACGAAGCTTGTGGGTGGGAAAGATGTTTATGACTGATACATCAGATAGACTTGTTGTTTGAGCAGTGCGAGGCTAGTTGGACATATTTCTCTGAAGAATGTCTGGCGGAACTTAAAAAGATATGAAAGGGCCGATCATGTCAATAAGGACACATGGCACCTTCTCATTCAGATTCTTTTTGGGACTAAACTTCTCGGTTTGAGTCCGTTTAATTTTGTATTTTCAGCATAATTTATTCATTCTGTAAGAAGAAATAAATTTAAGTATCATATCCACTTGTATGCGTGTATGTTTCATGGTACCTTTTAAGTCAGCTGACGAGTTTTCGTGAAACTTGGCAAGAAAGTTTTACCATTGAAGTTTTTTTTGACCAGAATTTGTACTAACATTTTGCCCATGCATAAGTCTGAAGTGGAAGCTATGCTAGAAACTTTTAATGCTCGTATAAGGCATTAAAATATTGTTTGGTAACAGATCTTTGGAAGATATGCAGCTTTTACGAAGGTGAGGTGTTGAGTAGAATGTAAGACGACAATATATGTGTGCAAGCTGATTTACATTAAATAAGGTTAACCTATAAAGAGTTTAGTAAAATAAAGTAAATAAAGTAAAGGTATCCCCGTAACAGGCCTTGGGGGCCCATAAGGTTGGGAAATGTTGAGGTTCCCACATTTTCTAGACAATCGGCTCATAGATGGCGGCAAGTTTGTCAGCCTTACTTGCCGGCCTCCCTTTACCCCCAAGAATATTCCTGGCACTCATTTCTGTTAGAGGTTGAGTCGACCCCAGGCCCATATTGCGACTGGAAGGAATAGGTAAATTGGAAAAATCCCCTTCATCTGGATTCGATCCCGCGACCTCCCAGCTTGTAGCATAGTACCTCAAACAACTACGCTACCGCGTACCCCACTATAAAGAGTTTATCATTGAAAATGACGAATTTACGGACGTTGATCATAAATACAGGTGCAATTTAAAGCATGTTTTTGTGCATTAAAATTGCATATTTGTTTTACTGTGAGATTTTACCTGATAATACCTTACCGCAGGTCACTACTTCTACTTCTGTGCTCTTGATATTAAGGACGAGTTTTTCTAAGTTTCATTTGACGATAGACAGCAGTAAGATATGTTATTTCGCAAGTATTTTGGAGGCCCTGGAACTCATGTTATTGCCTGTGTTTTTCAGGCTTCACCTAGCAACTTCAGAAAAATTCGTGTATTATGTTGAACGTTTCTACAGGATTATGGTCACGTAATGCTGTTTTTGTATATGATTCTACTTTAATCTGACAGGTGAGGAGAATGAAAAGACGCCTTCCTCCGCGTCGGATCCTGGACAGCAGTCGGGGGCGACGCCCCGCTATGATGTCACTCTGGAAGGTCTCCAGTTGGCATTAATGGATCGTCATAACTTCCCAGGTACGAAATCACTAAGGAAAATTTCAAGTCTCATTAAACGTAGACCTTATAAGATTAATATCTGCTGTTTCACGATTCTATAAAGCTTTGTGACAATGTTGGGTTCATGATACTCTTATTATGTTGCACATGAAACTAGCATAAAATATGCATGACAGTTTCAGACCCACATTAACATTTCTACTTAGATAAGTACAGAGTTAGACATCTTAGTTATTCCTTATACTTGAAAGATTCCTAATGGTGACGCCATGTACTCTTATCTTTCTTCCTGTGCTTCGATCTACAATCTTGCAGAAAATATCTTAATCGGCCGAACAGATTATCAGATTTATTAACTTTCTGAATTTCTCCGGTAGCCTCTCTGTGCGATATCTGCCAGTTTTCGTCTCAGCTTGTGCATCAGGCTACTAATTTCTGCTACGCTTCGAACATATTTTGCTGATACGTATTTCAGGTTAAGTGACAAACGATACTTGAAATTTCTAGGTTATATTTCTTCTTTATCCTCTGTCGTTTTCTCTTATGTCACGTCCTTACAAATTGAGCACTGGAATTCGTTTTTATGTGAGAGGTGGTGTATAGACAAGAGCCCATTTCACCACGAGTTGCTGAAATACGAGGGCAGTTACGAAAATAACCCGGGTGAGTTGTTACCAAAACAAGCAACGAGAGAAAACAAATTATTATATCCAAAAATACATATATATTGAAGCTACTTCTCAGCGTAGTCATCGCAGAAATTGAGGCACTTATCATATCGGGGAATGAGGTTTTGTATACCTGTGTCAAAGAAGTCTGCCGCCTATGAGCTAGGCCACGCTTTGGCACCCCAGTTCCTCATTACGGCTGAAGCGCTGTGATCCCAACCAGTTCTTCAGATAGGTAAACAGGTGATAGCGCTTGGAGCAAGATCAGGGTTGTAAGGAGGGTGGTCAAATAAGTCCCAGTTGAAATGATCAGCAATGCTCGAGAGCAAGCAGCTGTATGCGGACGCGCCTTGTCGTGGAGGAAAACTACACCGGATGTCACCATTCCACACCTTTTGTTCTGAATGACCCAAACCAGTTCTTTTAGTGTTTCGCAGTAGATTATTGTGTTCATTTGTTGCATGAATTCCACCATGAACAACCCTTTTTTGTCCCAGAAAGCAGTTGATATCAGTTTTCTGGCAGACAACGTTTGTTGAAAATGTTCCGCCTGTTTGGTGAATGTGCGTGCATCCACTGATTAGACTGCTCTTTGGTATCAGCATTCACAAATGAAACCCAGTTTTCGTCACCTGTGGCTCGTACGATATGACTGAGGAATTGATAGCCGTCTTAGTGGCATCGTTCTAAAAATTCAAAGCTGAGTTTTTTTTTTCTGCCTTTTGGGGGTTCCATGATATTTTTCAGATCCCATCTTGCGCAGGACTTCTGATAACCTAGCCTAACTGTGATAATCTCGCAGAGAACATCGAGCGAAATTTGTGGAAATTCACTCGAGTGTTCTGAAATTGTGAAGGCCCGTCTTTCACTTTGAAAAAGATGGTCGGCCGCCCACTTCGCTCTTTATCATGAACATCTTTCGCTATTTTGAATATTGCACACCATTGTCTTTCAGTTCCTTCATTCATTACATTTTGGCCATAAATCGCCGCGCATAATTCACGATGGATTTCCGCCGCGTGGATGATTTTAGCATGAAGAAAGCGGATAATAGCGCGAATTTCGCATCTGGTGGGATTAGCAATTGCAGGACACATCATAACTTATTCTGTAGAGACAGACAAGAACAAACACTAGGTGACCAGTTCTGTGATGATTTGGAAGGCAGGAAGTCATGTGGTGCTCCCTGGTATGCCCGAACTCTCCCCCTCTTTTACGAAGTTGTCTACAATAAACGGACTTTACTTTCCCAATAGCCTTCGTCTAATTTCTACTTTGCTTGCAATTATTGTCTGATTTATGTGGTTAAATGTTCATGTTGGTGAAAGCTAGCAATGAGATAGGAATACTTGCTTATTCTGGTAAACTTCCCATTACATATAATACTTCAAACTAACTACACCAGTACATTAAACTATGGATTGAGTAATGGAGTTGTTTCATTTTCCCCTAAAAACATTTTTCGCTATTGAATAATTTGCTTAGAGTAAGAAAAATTACTTTAAAAAATGGAACATAGTGGTTTAGCGAGCCGGGATAGCGCAGTCAGTATAGCTACAGGCTACGAGCTGGACGACCGAGGGGTCGCAGTTCGAGTCCCGGTAGGGTATAGAATTTTCACTTCTCGATCTCGTCCAGACAGGCTCTGGGGTCCACCCAACCTCTTTTTCAATGGTACTGTGTGCTCTTTCCCCGAGAGTAAAGCGGCTGGGGCGTGAAGGTGACCACTCACCTCCAACTAGTTCTAAGGTCAGGAAAATGCGGATCTATACATCCACTCCCCCATACTCCTTCATGGCGTAGCCCTTAATTAGTTAAGCTCAGGGAAAAAATTTACCTTTTTTTACCTTTTACATAGTGGTTTAGCTGTCCGTCTCTTCGGCTCGGAGAACCGTTTCGTTTCTAAGCTAGTCAGGAGCTGAAGCGCAGTAACCCGACACTTTGTAAAATGCGTGGAATGTACATCCCTACGGGGAGACGGGTTACTTAACAAAGGTGTCGTATATTCCTATTGCTATTCATTTCTCTCCAATGGCTTCACCTTATTATTCCATTTCATGCAGCATAATGTACACGCCTACGCTGTTCTCCTGCTAAGTTTTCGTGTCTCGTATTTGAGTACGTCTGTTTCTTAGCAGGGCAAAAAATAAAATATCACTTCGTTGACTATACAAGATAGACATGTACAAGTTATAAGAAATCTTAGCTATATAACAATACGTCCCTCGAAAATCGTTCAATAAAAATAATACCTTGCCCCGATTTCACTAATTAGTTAGTTAGTTAGTTATTTAGAGAGGGTGGGTTTCCCCATGCACCGCGACCAGTTTGATCTATTTTGCTTCCATCTATGATANATACAAGTTATAAGAAATCTTAGCTATATACGTCCCTCGAAAATCGTTCAATAAAAATAATACCTTGCCCAAATTTCACTAAATACTCGTATGATATTCATGTGTGTCCGCTGTCTGCCATGAGTTCTGTGTACTGTCCTGAATAGGCCACCACACAGACAATTACAAGAGGAGTACGAGATAGGCTGANGTGGGCACGTTACCTCTAGACTACGGAGGCCGCTCAGATTTCACTAAATACTCGTATGATATTCATGTGTGTCCGCTGTCTGCCATGAGTTCTGTGTACTGTCTTGAATAGGCCACCACACAGACAATTACAAGAGGAGTACGAGATAGGCTGAGTGCATTCTACTACTACTACTAGCTCTATCTATTGAGCCAAACTGAGTAGGTTTTACCTGAAGGCGGAGACAGAATCCAGTCTTCGAAACGTTGTGCTTTGACAAATAAACATGACGGTTTTTAGATGGCGACAAGACGATGGATAATGTCCAAAAACATAATATTTCTACCAATGTATCATCATCATCATCATCATCATCATCATCACAAACTTTTAGATTTTAATAGGTTAGCATTTAGCATGTAGCTCCGGCCGTCATAACTGCTAGAAAAATATTCTTAATTATTTGTTTTTAGGACAGTGGGTCGGCCGTCAGGGTCCTCTAGAATGGCAGTGAAGTGAGGAATCAAAACTCTTTGCCCGGCATCGAATGTTAATCGTCAGTTTTCGAAGCAACTACCCTAAAACTAAGTTATGACTTATCATGATTCTCAGCTTATGTAAAGACGTGCCGTAAAATGGAGACCTTACTGAGCCTGGAATATATGTGATAGCGATTATGAAATATGAACTGGAAAGGATTTGGAAGAACAGATCGCACTTCGTTTCTTTGACAGTGCCCCCACATTAGTTTGGAATGACGCAGGAGAACCACGAAGAATATCAACCGCGATAACTGGCCGAAGAAAAGGAGTTAGAACCGAATACCTCCAGCTTAAAACGTACAGGCATTTGAGATAAACCAAGCTTCCCGATACCATTTTTATTGGTTTGGGAAATTGAATAAACAAGTAAATAAATAAACTGGAATTGTGTGTTTTCAATTAATTGAAATTGTATCGTAGTTTGTCAACATACAAACATAAATTTAGTAAAACGCAATAGCGTAGTTGGTTGAGACACTGTGCTAGAAGCCGGATGGACGTGGGTTCGATTCCCGATGAGGTCATTGGATTTCTTCAGTTGACCTAATACTTTAGCCGCACTATGGTCCTTGGGTCGACTCAGCTTTTGACAGAAATGAGTGCCAGGAATTTTTCTGAGGTTAAAGGACGGCCGGCGGGTGAGCCTGACAACCTCACCGCCATCTGTGAACCGACTGTCTAGAAAATGTGGGAGCCTCGACTTCTCACAATCCTATGTGCCGCCAGAGCCTGTGACAGGGATATCTTTACCTTTTTCTTTTGCACGTTAACATCACTACATTTTCTTTTGTTAATGTGATATTGCAAAACATGACATAGTTTCACCCATACATCGATAAGGGTTCGAAACTACGATTCTACCATCGAGGTCTTACCGGCCACTCCTATAGCACTAGGTGCTCATTTCAATCTCTGAAACTATCTCCTTTCCTTCCTAGACATATGCATAGTCGGCCTACTTCATGAAATATTTCCTACCATTCTTAAACATAAAGTACGAAGATGTTAGAAAATATGTGGTACAATTATTAGGACCTTAGCTGCTATAGTTAGGAAGGTGATACTAACATTCTATAAGATTATGGCAATACTAAGTCTTCTCTGTTGAACTGAGTTATGGACGCTTACAGTACAACAGAAGGGTAGTTTGGAAGCTGCGGAACTGCGCCTGTCATGATACCGATTGATTGATCACAGACGCAGTGAAGAGGTAAGAGAGGAACTACAAATCGGTGGTATAAATTTAGTAACTGATGATTATCAAATAAAGTGGCCATAAAAT